AGGCTTGATTAACAACAGGGAAGGACTTGAAAGGGATGCAATGCATCGGATTGGAGCATGTTAAAAAAAAAATGCACTAGCACTACAAGGATTCTTTGTGACGAGAAAATACTTGTAAAAGTTAAAACACAAATTCTACATATAGTAAACTTGCTATACTTTACGGTACCAAGGCCAAGTCGTTAAATGTCAGTAAGATGAATGTAAAATGAGGATGGTAACATAGATTTGTTGCCATCTACGAAGAGCAATCAAACATATGAGCAGCATATATGCAAATAAATGGGGTAACACCAATTGAGGATAAAATGAAAGAACATGTCTGGTTTATACCAAAGAAGCTACTACCACAGAAGTGGTGCGATCTCAGTAAAACTAGTTAGAACAGGAGAGGTAGCCCAAATATTAACATGTCTATTTAGATGTGAAATATCCGGTCGTGTTGAATCTTCCAAGAGACATAATAAATGAACCAATGGAATGGTGAAAAAGGATTCATGTAGACTACTCCGAATTTATTGGGAATACTTCCTTTTGTGTATTAGGAATATTTGTCACATTGCAACATCAAGATCCAGTAAGTGAAATGACTGAATTGTTGGAACTATCAGGCAACAACTTTAGGCCATTAAAATTCTAACTACCAAGAGGAGAGTGCCATTAGGATTAGCTGTTAGAACTGAATTTCTATTTCACTTTTCCTTGTAACTCACATAATCCCCTGAAGTGGTCCTCCCCCACCCCCACCTCACAAGAAAACGAAAATAAAAATTCGTGATTAATTTTGATTGATTATTAACCCTGAGTTATTCCACGTGTAGGATAAAAGTGGAAGTGCAGGCACATTCCACATATCCATTGTGCACGCAAGTGTGATTCCCTCTGCCCAAAACATAATATATAAATAAAAAGATAAGACGAAAAATCAATGTATAATTTCACTGATTACTGACACATTCCACACATCCATTACCTCAACTCAATAGAACAAAGACATGCATCATAGCACAAATCACAAAAATATGCAAAATTCAGTTTTTACACTCCAATAGTTTTTTCCAAATCATTGAGGAAAAATGTCTCCATGGGTATTATTACAAGTTAGTTGAGGTACCTGCTGCCCTGTATCTGTAAGGATAAGTCCTTAATGGATCCAACTGTGTTGCCATACTGAGATCATCATTTGCCAGTTCTCGATCGCAGTACTCTGAGCGTTTTTCATAAGCTGAAGCCTTGTTTTCTGCCTTCTCAATTAGCTTTGTCATCTCATCATAAGCAGATTTCTTATCATTTTTGTGATGATAAACACGTGCAAGACCCTGATGAGCTCGTGTATGCTTTATTTTCAGGGCACTCATATAGCAGTCTGCTGCACAATCGAGCTTACCACAATCCACAAAAATACTTCCTAGATTATTTAGAGCCTGCAAAAATGTAACCATATACAGCATAAATAAAAACATCCAGCTACACACAATAAGGAACAGTTTTTGAGCATCTATACCCACCTGTCCTTTACGAAGACCGTCTGAAGGACATCTAAGTGCCTCCTCCAGGAGTTCGATAACATAAGATGCAGATTCAGGATCCAGATATGTATCCGCCAGCGCATATGCTTTAAGGAAAAAAGCTTCAAAAGACCTTTGAAGTGAAATAGATTCCTCAGCTTTGGTGATTGCTTCTTCACGGTAGTCAGAATCATATAAAATCCATCCTTCATAAACAAGCCTTTCGCAATAGGAGCTAGAATGATTTCGGGCAAAACGCAAGCTACGCATGGCAGCTTTTTGACAATTAAGCCTACATTACAAATGTATATTAGGGCACATTTAGGAGGTTTCCACCTCTTTCAATGCTTTAATTTATTGTTCATTCCCACTCGGATAGAGGGGACACCACAAACAAGGAAGGGGCTTAATGCTTCAACTAGTGTGGCTATTCTTCTCAATACTGTCAACAATCACAATGAAGGATGAAAGTACTTTCATTTGCAAAGGATACACTTTTAAAAGTTTTTGTTAACACAAAAAATATCACATCATCTGATAAATCCAGCAGTACAAAGTCATGACTAAAAGAACGTAATACAATCAGTTGTAATACATTAGAATCAATCAGAAACATGATTGCAGAATACAGTCCAAGTTATATTTCTTCACATGACCATGCCATAACTAAACAGCCCAAAGCTGTTGACGAGGCAAATATGATCTACCAAATAGAGGAATCATAAAATTCAATAAATGAGTTCTTATATTGTTCCTGATTCAAATCACATAGAGTTCGACAATGAATAGCAGAATTTATACTTAAAAAGTCATTTGACCATGAAGACCAAGAACAAAAAACTAAACATTAGTTTCAATAAATTAGAGACCAGTCATATGAATCCTTTTATGAGATTCCATTCAATCCCCAGCAAAATTGAACATTTTTCGTGGCAGTAAACAAACACATTTGCATATGCCAGATCTATAAAAGTATCAGTAAAAATGTGCCATGTGTAAAACATCCTCAACTAACTACTTTATCAGTACCATAGAGCCATTATTACGCAGGATAACCTTACTTAGTTGACTTGAGGTCTTAAAACATGGCAGGACAAGATATAATTTACAGGTAGAAGAGACATAAATTGCAACTAATCACCCAACTTTACCGTAATAGAAGTAGAGATTGTCGGAACCACAAAATGCTCTTTTCAGGATTATTTATCAGCATCTGATGTACAACAGCCAGGGAGCCAATATCATCAACAGAAGACCATCGGTCATAGAGTTGCATCCAGCAATCAGCTGGACTCCACTGGTTAACATGTTGGCCAAGAAGTTCAACCAAGTGGCTGCCTATCACTTTCCCATTAAACATCATGTAATTGGGCTCCAATGTTAATAAGGCTTGAATGTCTCTTATAGCAGCATTATAGTCCTCAAGAGCAATATGGAACCAAGCTCGAAGTTCAAGACAGTCGGAGGACACCTTAAAGCGAAGTATTCTGTTCAACTCTTTGATAGCTGCCTCAGTCTGGTTCTTCTCTTCTACCATAGAAACAGCTCTATATTTGTACGGAAAGGAAAGAGTGGGATCCAATCTAGTAGCTTCATTTAGATCCAATATCTTCTCCATACCCGAGTTATATAATGACCGTTCTTGATACATCCACCCCATTGGATATTTATTCTTTGATATAATTGAATTAATAATATCATGTGCCAAACACCTCTGCCCTTGCCTGAACTTTGTGCGTGCTACTCCAGCTAATGAATAAACATGGCCCATCTCAGCCGCTGCTTCATAGCAATGGTGAGCTTCATTAAACTCCTTTCTTTCAAGAAACACACAACCCAACTGATGAAATGCTAGTGCCTTCTGCCACCTTTCAGTTGAACATTCTATTAATCTCTCAAACAAGTTTACAGTCACGTTAGACGTCATATCTTCTTCCAATGGCAACCTGACTAAGGAAATAGAACAATAGGAAAGAAGAATGACCAACCATAGCTAATCTTGCTCGAGCCTCAGAACTACAGAATATATTCATAACTTTTGAATTATGTAAACACCCTGGAAGCTCTCTAAGAATCACTTGCAAGCAAGAGGCTGTGAGAAGAGTCACTTTCTCCTCCAGAGCATAATCAATAAGAATCAATGCTTCATCAATGTTGGAAACCAATGAAGCTAAATAGTTATCACAAGCAGATTTCATTTCCTCACAACAAAACCGATTAGCAAAAGACAGAATCTCCATGACAACATTAGGCAAACAAGAATCTAATTTCTTAGATTCACTGAACAATCTCACTGCTCTCATTCCCTCCACAGATATCCCAATTCCTGAAAAATCTATAGAATTTTTCATTGACTCCACAAAATTTCCATATAACATTGCTTTTAATGGTCTGGAAAGAGAGGCAACTCTACCTCGATTGCAGTAAACTTCCTCCTTGCCAATGCAAAAGCAAACAATTTCATCCAAATCTGAACTGAAAAATTGATCATTTCCATCCAAGATATAGTTGATATCTGAATTTCCATTACTAGAATCAATCGCCCTGGAACATTGACAGTGATCAAAAACAGAATCTGGATCATAACCATGTATCAAAGCCGACTTGGGGCATTCAAGATTTCTTCCAATACAATCAAAAGGCGAAGTTCCCACGAGTTCATCTTCTCTTCTCTCGTACCTCAACCAAGCCGATAAAACAACCTTTGTGTGCACGTCTACGGCGTGTTTGCGAGCAAATTGAAGGCGCCTCCGGGTTATTTTCGGATCGCCATTGCTAAGCGACATAGTATACTGCTCTAAATGCACAAGGGACTTGTCTGAATCTGGACCACTGTTCTCCCTCCTGTACAGTTCGGCCAAGGACTGAACAAAGTCTTCGGATTTGAGATAAGGGTCAATCCGGGGTTCGAGAGAGTCAGTTCTTGGGAGCCCATATGGGAGAAGAGTCTTAGTCGTGGATACCAAGACGGTATCAACCGATTCACGCAGGATAGAATTCAATGTGGGCAGTTGTTCTAGGTGGTGGCGCTTGTTAGCAGTGGCGGTAGCTATGGCCACGGCGGCGGAGGTAGGGGTGGAGGTGGCGGTGGAGGAAGGCGTAAAGGCGTAGACTTGAGTGGTTTTGCAACGGTCTTTGAGCTTAAGATAACGCATAGTAGCATTAGATATATCAAATGAATACTGTCGAATGAGATTTGCCAATCTTGATTTGGAAAGATTGGAACTTTTCAATTGATTGGCTTCATTATCAATTGAAGCAGACATGAATCCAATTTCAAAATCAAATCCAAAAATGGTTGCGAAGAAATAGATTCTTGATTCAACAACAGCCAGCATACACCACCATTTGGGGAGTTGAGTGAGGCCTGAGAAAGGGACGCAGCACACTAAAAATGATTAAACTATTTTTCGATGATTTCGTCTCTTTCATCAAATTGAACTCTCTTTTCTTTTTAGCTTTTTCTATTTTTCGTGTAGGACAATGAAAAGGGTCCCCCAAGTATAAACAATTCTAAACGAGCTCAATATATTAAAAAAATAGACACAAGAATGAACCTGTCCACCCTGAGTTGTGTGTTTACTCTGTGAAAAATTCCTTTGCCCTATATGACCTATAAAGAAACATGGGCGGAATTAATGTCGTCTCCTTAGCCACTTCAATAATCAGCTTTCAGCATATGCTCACCAGTTTAAGATAACTTATTTTACCAATCATTCCAATATTCTTGTCTACAAATGTTCCTTCATTTTACACCAATACCATCTTGAACTTCTCCGTGAAGCAAATACTAGTAGGAAAAGCTCAAACATTTTCGTTTTCCTTCCTCCCAAAACCAGAATTAAATTGCCCCATTGCATCATTTCACACAGAACGAAATATTACCTCGTCTACGTAGACACAGCTCGGGTTCTTGCACAATTATACAAATTGAGGGTGTCCTTGTGGTCGGGATCCAAGCAAAGGGCTGCCTCACAGTCTCTGAGAGCAGAGCTTAAGTCACCCATTGATTCATGGAATGCTGCTCGAAGATTAAGCATTTGCACATCAGGCTTGAAAGCAATGGCCTTTGTCAGCTCTTCTACTGCTTCATTTTCTTTTTGGTCATCCATAAGCACTGGTGCATGCAAATGCAAATGTTAGTATACGATAAAGAAACAAACTCTGCAAAACTTGATCTGCTGGAACTTTCTTAAATTCTCACTTATAACCTAGAGCAGAAAAGATGGCCAAGAAGCACCAAATCATTTTTATTCCAAGAAATTGTCGCGGGAAAATATATCTACTATAGTTTCTCCAATACATGCACATATACTGTGGAAGACACAATTTAGACAAATACGTGCCTCTCTATAACCTTAAGTTTTTAGATCAAGTGATTAAACTTAGTATCAAAGTAGATAAAGACCTGGGTTCAATTCTCATCACCACCCATTAACTAAAAATTGTAACGTGTTAGGCCTTTGATGAGAAAATGAACCTTGACCTAAACGTGAAGGGCGTGTTGAAGACACAATTTAGATGAATACATGTGCCTCTCTCAAAACCTAAGCTATTAGATTAAGTAGTGCAACATATAATAGCCTAAATTTTTTCTTTGCTCCCACATTAAGTTCAAACTGGATTACTAATTATGTATAATTGTTTTTCTTTTGGGGTACTCATGACTAATAATCAGCTTCAATAGTTATTTCCATCTTTATATAAAAAAGTATAGGAAACTAGTTTGCAAACATTATCAATTAGAATTGCGGTAATAAAAAGAAACAAAAACACGCTTCTCCAGGCTGTTAGGCCTCTCTTAATAGAAGGATAAGATACATGAACGCCAACACCAGTGAGAGGATAATACAATCATCCACAATGCACTAAAGATTTGTTATGTTAATTCTGCTTATGTTTCTTTGTAGTCATTTCTATGGACCAAGGAGAGGGTTGTCGTAGATTCGACAGGTGTAAAATTTTAGTCTTTGACATGAATCATTCTGCACATTTTGTTGCGACATCACTTTGGATTATTCCCACACCCTAATGGACAGGCAGGTTAAGGAGTTATTTCAGAATAACAAAATTACGACAGAAACTTGGATAAAGGGGCATTTGCAAGAAAGTTGTCAGAATTAAATTAGCAGTTGTAAGACCAAAGTCAATATAGATTGCAGATGAGAAGTCTCAAAATAAATGAGGGAAGAAAAACAAATTAAGGAACAAGAGATATATACTCTGGAACATGGGCAGGAAAATGAATATAAATGGGGTAGGATAATTATTAAACAGGTTTCAAAAATAAGGTCGCACTCTTAAACAAGCTCCTTCCGTACTTGTATTGTATTTGATTCTTGTTGATTAAACCATAACAAACTTTGCCGAAATGTCAACCGCAATCAATGTTGAATAATAGTAGTAAGTTTGCTTTTAGGATAAGACTCTATTAAAGATATTAACATATATGCTCCACAATTGGATTAAATAAGGCAACACAACAATAGCATTAAACTGATATGGATTACTTAATTCAAGCAGTATGTTCCGGGAAATTTAAACAGTCATGTAGGGTAAGACGTAGGGAAAGGTTAAGTTAGGATATGAACGATTATGTAGGAAAATGTTAACTTAGGATATAAAAGAGAATGGAGAAGTTGCTTAGGGGATCAAAACGAAGACGGTAATAGTATTTTGGAATAGGGTTGATATATGAATTGGTATTTGCATGTGCCCAAAATAGGAGACTCACCTCATAACGTTCAGAAATGCAGGAAAGGTAGATATATGATGGAGACATGAAATGATCACCACCTTGGCCAATTCATTAGCTCGTTTTATCTATGTTGGTTGGACTCTCCATTTTGGAGGAAATACCCGTGTCGACTTGACAAGACACGACACAATAAGGATAGGGTTGAGGTCCATTTCAGCTTTCTTTTAAAATAAGTAAAGGATCCTTTATATATTTTTTGTCATTTTCATGTTAGATTTAAAATAATTTCAATTTCGTATCTCATATTTCTAGATTTGAAATATTATCCAAAGGAAATATTACAGTTTGCAATTTAATTTGTTTATTTTTATAAATTTCTAAATTAAATTAAGTTTTTAAGAATCATAATGTAGCTACGTCTAAAGTTTGGATCGATCCTCCACTGCCATATCCTCATATCCTTGATTTTAGGGAAAAAAGAAGTTTGGATCGATCATCTAATATCATATCCCCATATCCTTGATTTTAGGGGGGAAAAATCCAATTCATAGACATGTACCCCGTTTGACACATGTGCCCGAGTTAAAGTAACATAGAGTTTTAATATTTTTATTTTTATTTGCTTGCACTTTAATTACTTAAGGATAATTAAGTCTTTTTTTATTAGGTTTTTCTTCCTTGGGTTTACTATTTAAACACTTATTACAGCTTGATGGTTCTTTGGTTGTTTTGGAATAAAATTTATAGATTTTGGAGCTCCAAATTCCCTTTATATCCAATTTCAGTATTCAATTTTGAATCTATGTTAGTTGATGGGATATCAATTCTTGAACATTCTTTTGTGAATCAACGAGACTTCATTCACATTCCCAGCATTCTCAAGAACCAAAGGTCAATCATTTCTCGCTTTCGCTACACTCAGTTTGATACTAGAGCTCAACTATGTATTGAATTTTATGAGGCTCCAAAGGCAAAAGTGCCGTTACAGTAGGGCACACAACTATATTGACAAGTATCCAAGTTGACAAAAGAAATTTATTGGCAACTATAACAATGCATGGTTACAGTAGTCATAGAGTTGGTGACAAGGTACTTCAATGGTGGTGATAATCTTTTCCCCTCTTCTTTAAGAAAGGCAAATGAATAAGATTCGCATGAGGAACTAATTTTGAGAATGAGGTAGACAAGCAGAGTGGGCTAAGGAATTCGAGCACACAAGGAAACTTATTCCCTTTGGTAACTGGTCAAAGTCATGGAGATGGGCAATGTCCATAATTTGCATGCAATTATATATGAAAATTACAAATATACTAGCAAAAGATTTTCCATCAAAATTTTTGCAAGGTAGAATTGAAGTGGGGCCAATGTAAAAATTTGGAGAGGAAGAGGTGCAAATTTGTGCTCTTAAGGATATTAAAGATAGACATGGAAGGGAAGGATATTGGCCAATTTCCTAAATTATTTTATTTTTTTTCTTATTTTTAATTTTAACTAGCTTGCACTTTAATTATCGAAGGACTATTTGAAATTTTTAAGATTAGATTTTTCTTCCTACATCTTCTTATTTATATGTTTTGATAAGTAATCAAATATTTTATTAAACAAGAAAGAAACAACATGAAGTACTTCCATATGACTATTAACCGTAACATTAAACCAACTATATAATGTTAGATAAAATAATTAATTAATCTGCTCTCTTGTTCGTATTTGATCTTTAAAATAGCGGCTGTTCCTTTCTCTCCACATACAATATACAATGCAACCTGAAATAAGGTCCCAAACAGGCTTGTAATCCTTATCACGAAACTTTCTCCTCCATACCCTGAACACATCCTTCTTGTGCCTCGACATCACCCAATTCATATGTTGAGAAGCCAGAATATTGTTCCACAGCAAAAAAGCACCATCGCAATAACGGAACAAGTGGTCAATATTAAACTTTGAATCAACCACTTCATTGATCAACGTCCATTCTCGGCATTCTTTTTTAATCAAAGACACGTGATTGTCAATTCCCAGCATTCTCAGGATTATTTCTTACTTTGGCTACATCAGTAAGTCTTTACATTGATGGTCTCAATCTAATTATTAAGATATAAAAAGTAGTGCAAGAAAAGGTTTTAGTTCGAATAGTGGAACCTACAGAGTGGAAAACTTCAACGATAATATCTTGAAGGAAAAGGGTTATAGACAAAAACAGTGACATGCCGTGGAATGTGATGAATAGCTGCATACGAAATATAGCGAATGAGGTATTAGAAGAATCTAAAGATTTGTAAGTTGCCTAATAAGGTAACATAATGGTGAAATGACCAGGATCAAACGATAGTTAAGACAAACTGATAAACACTATTGAACTTATCAAAATATGAATATACAAAGGCTTTTAAAAAAGTAAAGTTACTAGAATGGTAAGCTAAGAGGCTGATTCATGACCCCCATGTTAAAATACATAAGAAGTTGTTTTCTTTTCGTGGAATAAAAAGATAAGAAAATGTATTTACAAGATATCTAGGCAAAGACAGAAGGAAAGTAGAGATCCATATAAATTTCAATTAAAGATGAAGGAATTTTTACGACAAATTATTTAATGAACAACATAGTGCTCATATTGAAAATTTGTCGAACTCAACACTATATATATTGTTTATACTAGAAGAATGGGTCTTCAAAGTAAGGGAGATTACAAAAAGGAAGAGGATAACATGTTTTATAGTTGCAAAATTATTCAACGAGATCTCAAAAAGGAAACATCTAACAAATTGAATGGAAAAAGAGCGGTATGGTGCCTTAACTGCCTATTTATAAGAATAAAGGAAGATTGTACAAATTACACAGTGTTAAAGGTCATGAGTTATATTATGAAATTATGAGCGAGGGTGATTGAGCCCAAATTAAAGTGTAATTCACAGGTCTCAGAGAAAACAGTTACGGTTAATGGCAGGGGGTTATGCAAGTCATTTACCAACTTGAAACAGCGGTGGAAATGTATAGACAACGGAAACAATGTTTACATATGGTTTTTATTGATTTTGTAAAAACTAATGTGCCCACTGTCGAATACTAGAGGGAAAAGAATTTTTATAGGTATATAAATATTATTAAGGATATATATGGATGGCGAGGAAATCGATTGTACGAGATATAGTAGCAGTAATAGCAAGGTTTTGCATTGAGTTCTTATCTTTTCACTTTGGACATGAATCGGCTTTCTAGATATATTTAATATGAGGATCTTTGGAGTATGTAAATTGGTCGTGACAAAGTTTCAGTGGACGAGACTTGGTTGGCTAAATCGTTATGTTAGAAATTTGGAGGAGTACTTAGGTTTAAGTAACAGTAAGATAGATTACATAGGATGTCCTTTTAGTATAAGTAGGAACAAGGATGGTAGTAGAGTCACCATGGAACATTACTAATACAAAACAATGATTGTTTTAGTTATATAGGCTTGATTAACAACAGGGAAGGACTTGAAAGGGATGCAATGCATCGGATTGGAGCATGTTAAAAAAAAAATGCACTAGCACTACAAGGATTCTTTGTGACGAGAAAATACTTGTAAAAGTTAAAACACAAATTCTACATATAGTAAACTTGCTATACTTTACGGTACCAAGGCCAAGTCGTTAAATGTCAGTAAGATGAATGTAAAATGAGGATGGTAACATAGATTTGTTGCCATCTACGAAGAGCAATCAAACATATGAGCAGCATATATGCAAATAAATGGGGTAACACCAATTGAGGATAAAATGAAAGAACATGTCTGGTTTATACCAAAGAAGCTACTACCACAGAAGTGGTGCGATCTCAGTAAAACTAGTTAGAACAGGAGAGGTAGCCCAAATATTAACATGTCTATTTAGATGTGAAATATCCGGTCGTGTTGAATCTTCCAAGAGACATAATAAATGAACCAATGGAATGGTGAAAAAGGATTCATGTAGACTACTCCGAATTTATTGGGAATACTTCCTTTTGTGTATTAGGAATATTTGTCACATTGCAACATCAAGATCCAGTAAGTGAAATGACTGAATTGTTGGAACTATCAGGCAACAACTTTAGGCCATTAAAATTCTAACTACCAAGAGGAGAGTGCCATTAGGATTAGCTGTTAGAACTGAATTTCTATTTCACTTTTCCTTGTAACTCACATAATCCCCTGAAGTGGTCCTCCCCCACCCCCACCTCACAAGAAAACGAAAATAAAAATTCGTGATTAATTTTGATTGATTATTAACCCTGAGTTATTCCACGTGTAGGATAAAAGTGGAAGTGCAGGCACATTCCACATATCCATTGTGCACGCAAGTGTGATTCCCTCTGCCCAAAACATAATATATAAATAAAAAGATAAGACGAAAAATCAATGTATAATTTCACTGATTACTGACACATTCCACACATCCATTACCTCAACTCAATAGAACAAAGACATGCATCATAGCACAAATCACAAAAATATGCAAAATTCAGTTTTTACACTCCAATAGTTTTTTCCAAATCATTGAGGAAAAATGTCTCCATGGGTATTATTACAAGTTAGTTGAGGTACCTGCTGCCCTGTATCTGTAAGGATAAGTCCTTAATGGATCCAACTGTGTTGCCATACTGAGATCATCATTTGCCAGTTCTCGATCGCAGTACTCTGAGCGTTTTTCATAAGCTGAAGCCTTGTTTTCTGCCTTCTCAATTAGCTTTGTCATCTCATCATAAGCAGATTTCTTATCATTTTTGTGATGATAAACACGTGCAAGACCCTGATGAGCTCGTGTATGCTTTATTTTCAGGGCACTCATATAGCAGTCTGCTGCACAATCGAGCTTACCACAATCCACAAAAATACTTCCTAGATTATTTAGAGCCTGCAAAAATGTAACCATATACAGCATAAATAAAAACATCCAGCTACACACAATAAGGAACAGTTTTTGAGCATCTATACCCACCTGTCCTTTACGAAGACCGTCTGAAGGACATCTAAGTGCCTCCTCCAGGAGTTCGATAACATAAGATGCAGATTCAGGATCCAGATATGTATCCGCCAGCGCATATGCTTTAAGGAAAAAAGCTTCAAAAGACCTTTGAAGTGAAATAGATTCCTCAGCTTTGGTGATTGCTTCTTCACGGTAGTCAGAATCATATAAAATCCATCCTTCATAAACAAGCCTTTCGCAATAGGAGCTAGAATGATTTCGGGCAAAACGCAAGCTACGCATGGCAGCTTTTTGACAATTAAGCCTACATTACAAATGTATATTAGGGCACATTTAGGAGGTTTCCACCTCTTTCAATGCTTTAATTTATTGTTCATTCCCACTCGGATAGAGGGGACACCACAAACAAGGAAGGGGCTTAATGCTTCAACTAGTGTGGCTATTCTTCTCAATACTGTCAACAATCACAATGAAGGATGAAAGTACTTTCATTTGCAAAGGATACACTTTTAAAAGTTTTTGTTAACACAAAAAATATCACATCATCTGATAAATCCAGCAGTACAAAGTCATGACTAAAAGAACGTAATACAATCAGTTGTAATACATTAGAATCAATCAGAAACATGATTGCAGAATACAGTCCAAGTTATATTTCTTCACATGACCATGCCATAACTAAACAGCCCAAAGCTGTTGACGAGGCAAATATGATCTACCAAATAGAGGAATCATAAAATTCAATAAATGAGTTCTTATATTGTTCCTGATTCAAATCACATAGAGTTCGACAATGAATAGCAGAATTTATACTTAAAAAGTCATTTGACCATGAAGACCAAGAACAAAAAACTAAACATTAGTTTCAATAAATTAGAGACCAGTCATATGAATCCTTTTATGAGATTCCATTCAATCCCCAGCAAAATTGAACATTTTTCGTGGCAGTAAACAAACACATTTGCATATGCCAGATCTATAAAAGTATCAGTAAAAATGTGCCATGTGTAAAACATCCTCAACTAACTACTTTATCAGTACCATAGAGCCATTATTACGCAGGATAACCTTACTTAGTTGACTTGAGGTCTTAAAACATGGCAGGACAAGATATAATTTACAGGTAGAAGAGACATAAATTGCAACTAATCACCCAACTTTACCGTAATAGAAGTAGAGATTGTCGGAACCACAAAATGCTCTTTTCAGGATTATTTATCAGCATCTGATGTACAACAGCCAGGGAGCCAATATCATCAACAGAAGACCATCGGTCATAGAGTTGCATCCAGCAATCAGCTGGACTCCACTGGTTAACATGTTGGCCAAGAAGTTCAACCAAGTGGCTGCCTATCACTTTCCCATTAAACATCATGTAATTGGGCTCCAATGTTAATAAGGCTTGAATGTCTCTTATAGCAGCATTATAGTCCTCAAGAGCAATATGGAACCAAGCTCGAAGTTCAAGACAGTCGGAGGACACCTTAAAGCGAAGTATTCTGTTCAACTCTTTGATAGCTGCCTCAGTCTGGTTCTTCTCTTCTACCATAGAAACAGCTCTATATTTGTACGGAAAGGAAAGAGTGGGATCCAATCTAGTAGCTTCATTTAGATCCAATATCTTCTCCATACCCGAGTTATATAATGACCGTTCTTGATACATCCACCCCATTGGATATTTATTCTTTGATATAATTGAATTAATAATATCATGTGCCAAACACCTCTGCCCTTGCCTGAACTTTGTGCGTGCTACTCCAGCTAATGAATAAACATGGCCCATCTCAGCCGCTGCTTCATAGCAATGGTGAGCTTCATTAAACTCCTTTCTTTCAAGAAACACACAACCCAACTGATGAAATGCTAGTGCCTTCTGCCACCTTTCAGTTGAACATTCTATTAATCTCTCAAACAAGTTTACAGTCACGTTAGACGTCATATCTTCTTCCATGGCAACCTGACTAAGGAAATAGAACAATAGGAAAGAAGAATGACCAACCATAGCTAATCTTGCTCGAGCCTCAGAACTACAGAATATATTCATAACTTTTGAATTATGTAAACACCCTGGAAGCTCTCTAAGAATCACTTGCAAGCAAGAGGCTGTGAGAAGAGTCACTTTCTCCTCCAGAGCATAATCAATAAGAATCAATGCTTCATCAATGTTGGAAACCAATGAAGCTAAATAGTTATCACAAGCAGATTTCATTTCCTCACAACAAAACCGATTAGCAAAAGACAGAATCTCCATGACAACATTAGGCAAACAAGAATCTAATTTCTTAGATTCACTGAACAATCTCACTGCTCTCATTCCCTCCACAGATATCCCAATTCCTGAAAAATCTATAGAATTTTTCATTGACTCCACAAAATTTCCATATAACATTGCTTTTAATGGTCTGGAAAGAGAGGCAACTCTACCTCGATTGCAGTAAACTTCCTCCTTGCCAATGCAAAAGCAAACAATTTCATCCAAATCTGAACTGGAAAATTGATCATTTCCATCCAAGATATAGTTGATATCTGAATTTCCATTACTAGAATCAATCGCCCTGGAACATTGACAGTGATCAAAAACAGAATCTGGATCATAACCATGTATCAAAGCCGACTTGGGGCATTCAAGATTTCTTCCAATACAATCAAAAGGCGAAGTTCCCACGAGTTCATCTTCTCTTCTCTCGTACCTCAACCAAGCCGATAAAACAACCTTTGTGTGCACGTCTACGGCGTGTTTGCGAGCAAATTGAAGGCGCCTCCGGGTTATTTTCGGATCGCCATTGCTAAGCGACATAGTATACTGCTCTAAATGCACAAGGGACTTGTCTGAATCTGGACCACTGTTCTCCCTCCTGTACAGTTCGGCCAAGGACTGAACAAAGTCTTCGGATTTGAGATAAGGGTCAATCCGGGGTTCGAGAGAGTCAGTTCTTGGGAGCCCATATGGGAGAAGAGTCTTAGTCGTGGATACCAAGACGGTATCAACCGATTCACGCAGGATAGAATTCAATGTGGGCAGTTGTTCTAGGTGGTGGCGCTTGTTAGCAGTGGCGGTAGCTATGGCCACGGCGGCGGAGGTAGGGGTGGAGGTGGCGGTGGAGGAAGGCGTAAAGGCGTAGACTTGAGTGGTTTTGCAACGGTCTTTGAGCTTAAGATAACGCATAGTAGCATTAGATATATCAAATGAATACTGTCGAATGAGATTTGCCAATCTTGATTTGGAAAGATTGGAACTTTTCAATTGATTGGCTTCATTNGATATATCAAATGAATACTGTCGAATGAGATTTGCCAATCTTGATTTGGAAAGATTGGAACTTTTCAATTGATTGGCTTCATTATCAATTGAAGCAGACATGAATCCAATTTCAAAATCAAATCCAAAAATGGTTGCGAAGAAATAGATTCTTGATTCAACAACAGCCAGCATACACCACCATTTGGGGAGTTGAGTGAGGCCTGAGAAAGGGACGCAGCACACTAAAAATGATTAAACTATTTTTCGATGATTTCGTCTCTTTCATCAAATTGAACTCTCTTTTCTTTTTAGCTTTTTCTATTTTTCGTGTAGGGTGGATTCATCTTGGAGTTCGATGTTGAATTGAATTAAATAAAATCACACACACAGCATGATTGCATTTGGTATTTAATAATGCTAGTAATAATAGCAAGAAAATTAATTTTTATTATTCATTTTTTGGTCTACCGTTGATGCAGAAAAAATATTATTTTAAGACGTGGTGAGTGGCGGAGTGGGAGTTACGTGGCCTCTATTTGAGCATTATCCAATTGGAGATTAAACCTCTGCAATTAATCTTTCTTTCCTTCATAATTTTTTCACATGATCGAGCCAAGTGATAATGAATGAGACATGAAAAAAAATCATAAATGATTAGTATCAGTATAGGTGGTAGTAAATGTCAAAACTTTATTGTGCAACAGAGGTCAATTAATTTTCTCTTCTTTCACTTAGAATCCAGACTAGTAATAACCAATGAAATATGAAAATTCGCAAGTATTAATATGTTTATAGGTGATAGTGAATCCCACAATTTATTGTGTAACAGACGACAACAAATTTTCTCTTCTTTATTTTTTCTCACTTATAATTTAGGCAAATGACAGTCAGTGAGAAATGAAAAATCCACTAGTGATTAGTATTAACATAGGTGGCAGTAGACCTCCTAACTTAATGTGCAATAGATATCAATTAATTTTCTCTTCTTCATTTTTTCCCACTTATAATTTAGGCAAATGACAATCAATGAGAGATGAAAAATCCACTAGTGATTAGTATTAATATAGGTGGCCGTAGACCTCATAACTTAATGTGCAATAGATATCAATTAATTTTCTCACTTATAATTTAGGCAAATGACAATCAATGAGAGATGAAAAATCCACTAGTGATTAGTATTAATATAGGTGGCAATAGACCTCATAACTTAATGTGCAATAGATATCAATTAATTTTTTCTTCTTCATTTTTTTCCCACTTATAATTCAGGCAAATAATAATCAATGAGATGACAAATCCACCAGCGATTAGTATTAGCATAGGTGGTAGGGACCCACAATTTTGTTGTGCGAAGAATGTCAATTAATCTTCTTTTCTTTATATATATATTTTTTCACTTGTAACCAAGGCAAGTGATAACCAATAAAATATGAATAATCTATGGGTGATTAGCATCGGCATTGATTCCACAACTTTGTAATAATGGAAATTAATCTTCTTTTCTTTATCAAGACAAATAATAATCAATAAGATATAAATAATTCACCAGTGATAAAGCACCAATATAGGTGGCTGTGGTTTCACAACTTCATTGTGTAGTGAATGAAAACGCACTTGCTTCATCAATCTAATAACATGCGGTGATATAACATTACTTTTATTTTCGATTAAACTAGTGCTAATCATGGTATACGTTACTCATGAGATATATTTCAATCTTCTTGAATAAGAATAATAAAATTTATATCAAATGTTAAACATTAGCCCACAAAAACAATATACTCTTTTTGTTGTCAAAGTCACTGTAAAGGAGAGCCAAAGGTTAGTACAAAGGGTTACGTTTGCCCTCCCACAAAATGAATCAAAATTACACAAAATGAATCAAGAATGAGTTAGATATAACAATAAGTTATTTAGTAAATTCAAGGGATTGAATGTTAATTGTAACGCCTCTAGTAACGAGTCTTCAGGTCAAACCAAGGCCCACACTTTGCGTCACCCACCACGTCACACATCACTGTCAAGGCGTCAATGGTCTGAGGCGAATACCATATACACATGTTGGGCTGAAGCTCTAAAGTGACTCGTGTCGACATAAGCAGTGATGAAGTGACATGGCTGGGAGACACTCCTCCACCAGCGATTAGTATTAGCATAGGTGGTAGGGACCCACAACTTTGTCGTGCGAAGAATGTCAATTAATCTTCTTTTCTTTATATATATATTTTTTCACTTGTAACCAAGGCAAGTGATAACCAATAAAATATGAATAATCTATGGGTGATTAGCATCGGCATTGATTCCACAACTTTGTAATAATGGAAATTAATCTTCTTTTCTTTATCAAGACAAATAATAATCAATAAGATATAAATAATTCACCAGTGATAAAGCACCAATATAGGTGGCTGTGGTTTCACAACTTCATTGTGTAGTGAATGAAAACGCACTTGCTTCATCAATCTAATAACATGCGGTGATATAACATTACTTTTATTTTCGATTAAACTAGTGCTAATCATGGTATACGTTACTCATGAGATATATTTCAATCTTCTTGAATAAGAATAATAAAATTTATATCAAATGTTAAACATTAGCCCACAAAAACAATATACTCTTTTTGTTGTCAAAGTCACTGTAAAGGAGAGCCAAAGGTTAGTACAAAGGGTTACGTTTGCCCTCCCACAAAATGAATCAAAATTACACAAAATGAATCAAGAATGAGTTAGATATAACAATAAGTTATTTAGTAAATTCAAGGGATTGAATGTTAATTGTAACGCCTCTAGTAACGAGTCTTCAGGTCAAACCAAGGCCCACACTTTGCGTCACCCACCACGTCACACATCACTGTCAAGGCGTCAATGGTCTGAGGCGAATACCATATACACATGTTGGGCTGAAGCTCTAAAGTGACTCGTGTCGACATAAGCAGTGATGAAGTGACATGGCTGGGAGACACTCCTGCTAATAGAAGTCAATGACAAAGAGGTCCTGTCAACCCTAACGAGAGGCCTAAACATGAATACCTATTTTGAAGGGATGGAAAAAATAAAAATCCCACCACATATGATGAGCTAGTAGAGATTATGAGGATTGAGATTCTTAATTAAGAGATGATCGATCATTGAAATAGAGCAGCACATGGACTCCTACTATCCCAGAGGTATATGGGAAGAGGTTCCACATCATATTTTGTAAATCAACAGTGAACTCAGGCTGGACACATTGCAGCTCCCACTTTGGGATAGGCCCTAGCCACAACAACATCAAACGTAGTATCAACACTTGCTTATGAAAACATTGGACCCAATAGCAATGTTGGGGTTAAAACATCCCAGAGGCCCTCTAACCCAAGGAATAGAGGGAAAGGCGGAGAGCCTAGAAATAGGCCCACCAATGAGGTGCGACCTTACTGTCCGTTCTAACGATTTTATGGCCACAACACAAGTGAATGTAGGGATGCTCCTTGATCTATGAAGAGGAGCAATCCTCGAGATATGAGGAGAAATAATCGCACTCAAGAAAGCCCCCAAGACAGGATGCATCTTTCATAAGAGGAGAGGTGAGATGACTCGCTAGGAAACACTCATCTCGTCATGGGAGGAATGAGGATAGAGAAAGGGCCAGGGTTGGACAGAGGCAAAAGACAGAGACAAAAGAGAGACCTACCAGTCGCCATGAAGAATGCACCTATTAGAGAGATCAATATGATTATTGGGGTACCACATGTTGGAGATAATTCCAGAAATACATTAAAAAAACTATGCTATAAAGGCAAAGGATCTACCCATGGCAATGTACATAGTTAACCATTCCCAGAATGAGAGGCCAATAAAGCCTATCACGTTTACCCAAGAGGATACACATGTCTACATTATTCCCGCTGTGACGCTTTAGTAGTGAGGGCTATTATAGCTTACAGTTTAGACAATGGGAGTTTGGTAAACATATTATTCCACTCCATCTATGATAAGATTTTGGTAGATCACAAGTTCACTCACATGTCTTTACTTTTGTATAGATTTATTGGCGATAGCATTATTCAAGGGAAAAAATCACTCTAGCTGTTGAAATGGGAGTACCCTCCTTGGTAGCCCACCACTTCATAGAATTTCTAGTATTGAACTACCGATCTACTTACCATGGGGTGTTAGGTAGACCGGCCTTGAAGGAATTATAGATAGTTACCTTAATTTACCATATGTGAATAAAATTTCCTACTGAGCAAAGCATTGTCAAAGGCAATTAGATGGGGTCAAGGTAGTGTTAATTCAACTCCTTAAGAAAGGCGAATCCACGAGAGTAAATGTGGTAATTATGGACATTGAGATGTTCGAAGCCTCGAAGAAGGGCCCGCATAAAGGATATACGTTGAGACAGAGGAGGCCCCTGAAGAAGAAGATCTCTATTACGAATTGGATCTCCGTATCATTGAATTCGAGTCATAAATAGCTCCAATGGAGGAACTGGGAAGTTTCCTTGTAAATCTGAAAGAACTTAAGAGCTTTCTAGGAAGAAAGTTAGATGTCTTTGCATGGAAGCACAAAGACATGGTGGGCATGGACCAAAAGGTTATTTGTCATCACTTCAAAGTTGACCCAAGGCATGGGACAAACAAACAAACAAAAGAAGAGAACCCTCAACCCAAAAAGGTACGAGGCACTTAAGAAGAAAGTCGAGAAAATGATTAACAATAGCTTCATCAGAGTGACCATCCATCTAAAGTGGATTTCAAGTGCCACACTGGTAAAGAAGCAATATGGCAAGTGGAGGATATGCATCTACTTCTCTGACTTAAACCAAGCTTGCCCAAAGTAGGGCTGCAAAAAAAAATCGCAAATCGAACAAAATCATTGAGTTGAAACCGTTGGTTTTGATCCACGTAGACCCGTGATTTTTTCCCCTCAAACCAAATCAAACCATTTTAAAATGGTTTGGTTTAGATTTTGATTTTTGAAAACCACACAAATCACGTCCAAATTAGAGTAGTAGAATGTAACTCTACATTTACCAATCGCTATATGATAATATGAATATCAAACAAGAAAAAGGTAAATAAAAATGATGAAGATGTATTTGTCTTATTAATATCTTTTAGCAACCAACTTTAAAAATAATTTATTCATGAGTTTCATGATAAATATGAATGTAATTTCGTATTTAACATTATTAGCTCTCGTATAAACTTATATGTTAACTTATGTTAAATATATTACTATAATGTCGATATGTAAATCGCAGATTAAAATCGAACCAAACCAAAAATTATGGTTTGGTTCAAAAAATAAAATGGTTTGATTTGGGTTGGAAAAATTTCAAATCGCATAGAATGGTTTGAGTTGAAAATATAGCACAAACTGTCCAAACCGAACCGCGT